GTGGAGGCAATTTGTGCTTTATCTCATAGCATGTCTGCCTTTGAACAGGTTACACTGACTGGAATATACCTATACCTGTATACCTATATACTCATATACCCATATACTCATATACCCATATACCCATATACCTATATACCTATAGGTGGAACAGCGCTCTATACCTATATACCTATAGATGGAGCAGTGCTTTACTAGCTGTTCCTTCTGTGTAGAGGCAAGCAACCACTCTTTTGTGGCCTGCAAGAAAGTACGGTCTGCACCAGCTGGCATGCTCTAATGGATACAATGGAACCAGAAAGTATCAGCAGAGAATGTCTCCTGGCCTTCTTCCAAAGTGAGGGTGAACTGGTCTTGCCGGTCCAGTTTCAAAGGAATGCTGAGAGCAGCCATGACATCTCCTGCCCCCAGAAGTAGGTACTGTTAAGAACCATGTCATGGATAAGAAGCACCACCTTGTTTGACTTTCTACAGCTTATGGTCATTTTCCAAGTTCTTCCACCTGCCTTTTCTTATTGATCAAATACAGCCATAGAACTTTCCATGAACAGGTGGCAAAATGACCACCTTCTTTAAATCCGTTCCCTCATACTCAGCTTGCCCACCCGGCAGCTTGATCTGCCTGGTATTTACCACTTGACGCTCTTCCGTTGACATGCGTCACCTGTGCCCAAGATGGGCCAGTCTGCAAAGGGACCATTTCCTTGAGTCTGGTAGACATTGTTTAGGCGAGGGTCAGAGGAATGGTACTAATGTTCATTTTATCAACGTCATTTCCCACCGCAGGAATGCCCCCCTTCCCCCTCTCTCTCACGGTCTACATAGCCACACAGTGTGGTGTTAACCCGGAAGTAGTTTAAGTTCTTCCAAATGCGATTCCAAACCACTGGCGTCTTACACAGTTCCCTCCGATGTATCCTGTGCATTGACTTGGCACCGTAATCAACATAGAAGGAGCAGGCAAAGCTCACAGCATGGAGGTCACCATCTAGTGCTCCGGTCTCAGGCGCCTTCTCACTCCCTCTTTCCTTACCTCTCTGGTCGTGAGCTTTGAGCTCATGCAGTGACGTTTTTTGAATTCTGGAAGTTTGGCTTCTTTATAAACACAGAAATATTATAAGAATGTGTTTTCGTTTTAATCCCAGGTATGGAGATGAGGGGCTGCTTCAGAGTGTCCAAAGCAGCTGATTATGATTTGCCTCGTGCTCTAGCAGAGGTGTGGTAGTTTCTGCGAAGGTGTGACGTTTGGAATTTTGGGAACCTTTCAAAGGGTGTATAAATACTAGGGCCCTGAGAGTTGTTTGTTGTTGGTTATGGGGTTGTGGTTAGGTTTTTTGTTGTTGTTGTTTTGTTTTTGTTTTTTTGTTGTTGTTTTTTTTGTTTGTTTTTGGTTTTTCGAGACAGTGTTTCTCTGTGTAGCCCTGGCTATCCTGGAACTCACTCTGTAGACCAGGCTGTCCTCGAACTCAGAAATCCTCCTGCCTCTGCCTCTCAAGTGCTATGATTAAAGGCGTGTGCCACCACTGCCCGGCAAGGGTTGTGGTTTGTTAATAATCATACCCAGAGAAGATTTCTTGGCCTTTGGAAGTGATTTACAGGAGGAATGTTAAAGAGTTTGGAACTACACTGGGCAGTGGTGGTGCACGGCTTTGATCCCACCCACAGCAGGAGAACCTGGGACAGAATATCCAGCAGCAACCCACAGGACAAGCTCCTTACTTTTCCATAGACCTTTAAGGAGGACAGGCTCTCTGACTAGGGATAAGACCTTATGACAAGGTGGACACACCTTGTAGCAGCTGTGTGCTAGGAACGTAGCAGTTCAGTTAGTTTACAAAGCTATGGGGTCTCAACTCGGGTTGCCTTGGGCCTGGAAGGAGACGGACTCAGCAGCTGGGCACAGCTAAGTCCCTCTAGAGGAGCAGTGTCTGTGTTGTACAATTCTAGCCTTTTTGCTTCTACATGTTAAACAGAAAGCTGGTGAGATGGCTTAGCCGGGAAAAACACTCACCATGCATGTTGTCCGTTCCCAGAAAACCCACAGTGGAAGGCTGGTGAGCTCCTAGGTTAGCGCAGTGGTTCTCAACCTTCCTAAGGTTGCAACCGAATACAGTTCCACATGTTGTGGTGACCCCTCCCCCTCAAGCTAAAAAAAAAAAAATTTGTTGCTACTCCGTAACTGTAATTTTGCTACTGTTATGAATCAAGATGTAGATATCTGTGTTTTGGGATGGTTTTAGGTGAGCCTGGTGAGGTTGTTCAATCCCCTGGGTAAGAATGGCTGAGTTAGAGTCTTTAATTAGACTCAGTCCCTTGGATAGATTGAGAGACAGTGAATCAGAGGAAGGCTTTGGTAGATATTAGCAGTGTGCTTTATGAACTGTCAGGTGCAGACAAGAGCTAGCATATAATCACCTATCCGCTGTGCTAATAGCTCACGAGAGGTCCAGAGGCCAGAATCTTCATTCTTTCTAAAGTTTAGTCTACTTCCTGTTGTTCTCTATGATGACCAATTATTTTACTCTTTGGGTGTATTTCCTGTTGGATGCTTAAGACCATTCAGCAGTCAAGAAGGAACCGGTTGTTTGTAGTTGTTCAAGTCAGTTGAGGCTTTTTAGGGGTTACTCTCGGGACTTAGGAGAGGTCCACTGCCTTCTTCAGTCTTTCCTCTATGAGGTGTGTCATGGACAGGGCTGAGTCAGGATCTTGCTGACCACGTGGCTTCCCTTGGAAGCGTGGAGGGCATTTCCTTCTGTATTAACCCTCTTCTTGTTGCGTGTTCACTAAAAGCCAAACTCTGGATCTTTATGGCCTCTCTAATCAAGAGGACAGGTGACTCATTTATTTATTTATTTATTTATTTATTTATTTATTTATTTATTTATGCACATTGCACAGGATGAGCAGAGAGACCTGCACGTATGTCTGTGTGATGAAGTTGGAGCCACTGGCGCTTGTCTAGTTGTGAGCTGCTATGTGGGTGTTCTGGGGAACTTTTGGGTTTTGTTGTTGTTGGTGGTGGTGGTATTTTTTGTTTTGTTTTGTTTTTTTGTTTTGTTTTGTTTTGTTTGTTTTTGAGACAGGGTTTCTCTACATAGACCTGGCTGATCTAGAATTCTCTCTGTTGACCAGGTTGGGTTCAAACTCAGAGATCCACCCGCCTCTGCTTCCCGAGTGCTGGGAATGAAGGCGTGTGTCACCACTGCCAGGCTAGGACAGGTATTTTACTGTAGAATTGTATCACACTGTGAGAGGTGTCCGGCCATGTCCCTGACCTTGGGCCAAGCCTCTATATACTTACTGGTGTTGGCCTCCACGTTTTTTTGTTGAGCGAAAAGCTTGGACATAGAAACATGTCTCAGCCTGGAGAGATGGCTCAGTAGTTAAGAGCACTGACTGCTCTTCTAGAGGTCCTGAGTTCAACTCCCAGCAACCACATGGTGGCTCACAACCATCTGTAACGGGATCTGATACCCTCTTCTGGTTCTGGCATCCACCTTCTGGTGTCTGAAGACAGTGTACTCACAGACATAAAATAAATAAATAAATCTTTAAAAAAAATCTCACTGCTTTCTGATTTAGCTGTGGGTTGATATTGAAGGTTAAACTGCCTATTGTTGGTTACGCTTTTTAACATTTAACTAAGGTGCCTGGTGACATTGTACATAGCCGGCTCTTTCTTTTTAAAGCTTGGGGATCAAAATTACTCTAGTATACATCAAGAGATGAATTAGTAGAAGCAAGGTACAATCGTCTCTCTCAGATATAGCATCAGTTGCTATTTTATAAGGTTCAGGAGGAAACCCAAACCACCATATTTTTTTCTGGGCACAATATATCAGAGGCACGCGTTCATAGCAGAATCATTAAATTCCTCTTAGAATCCAATTAGTATAGTAGGAAAAAAATAACCTCTCAGGAACAGAACTCATCTTGGAGGTCTGACGTTACCTCTTTGATCTGATACGGAAAGCTCACTGACATTATCACGTGGCAAGAGTTAGCCAGAAGATGCAGCCACCCCTCTTTGACCAAAAGCATTTGAGTTAGGTTCCCACAGATGAATCAAGAGATAGAAGGGCACATGGGGCAAGATTCAGTAGCTTGAAGCATGCAATTATAAAATCGGGAAAGATCCCGGGGCCAGGCACAGACGTGCATGCACAGAGGGCAACTGTCTTCAGAAAGGAGCAGAGAATTTTATGGTCTCAAATCAAGGGATGTTGGGGGAAGTGTCCGTCCCTTACCACATCACAATGAAGATGGGGAAAATCTGATCGTAATCAGGAACACCAGAAGATGTCACCTCATCCTCACTTAATGCCCCATTAGCTTCCAGCTCTTAATTTTCCAAGCAGCTGAGGTAATTTCCAGTACAGCTGCATTTTATATAAAGGCCATGAGCACCCACAGGGATCAAGTCTTCTTTGGGGAGGTCCCGGAACCAATATTTCACAGACAGTAAGGGGTGACTCTAACATCTTTTTTTGTTTGTTTGTTTGTTTTTGGTTTTTGGAGACAGGGTTTCTCTGTGTAGCCCTGGCTGTCCTGAAACTCACTCTATAGACCAGGCTGGCCTCAAACTCAGAAATCTGCCTGCCTCTGCTTCCCAAGTGCTGGGATTAAAGGCGTGCGCCACCACTGCCCAGCAGACTGTAACATCTTTTAAGAGACTCTGGCGAGTCACTTAGCACCTTCCACCATATGACAGGCTATGAGGAAATGAACCCTCACGACACGCAGAGTCTTCTGTCACCTTTTTCTCAGATTTCCTGCTTCTCAGAGTTGTATGTCATCAGTATTTGTTTTAATTTTAATGTTAGATTTATTCATTTGATTTTGTGAGTGTTTTGCCTGCATGTAGGCATCCATATTGTATTGTATCCTTGGTACTTATGGAGATCAGAAAGGGACATCAGAACTCTTGGAACTGGAGTTAAGCGATGGTTATGAACTAGGAATCAAAACCTAGGTCCTAGCAAAAAAAAAGAGCTCTTAACAATTGAACCAGCATGATGGATTTCTTTAAGATGCATAAACCACACACACTGTTGTAGCACCCTGTATGTAGTTACACAACTCCCGCAGACATTGAGGTGACACAGAAGTGCCTGATGCTCCCAGAAGTCAGATGCTCAGGTCCCTATAGGGAGACTTCCATGATGAGCACACTACTGGGTAGCCTGGAAATCTATCTATGACAGTTTCCCACTCATCTGAAGCAAAAGTTCTCTGCCAGGACGTAGCCCTGTCCAGAGACAGTATCTGTTGTTACATCTGGGGTCATAGGAAGGGATGCTATTGTGTCAAGTGTGTGCAATGTGGAGACAGCTCCATGCCACAAAAGGTGATGTCATCTCAGATGTCGGCACAGCTGAGCATGAGCCCTAGTCTCAAGACCATGGAGCATTGAGACCTGAGCTTTGCTCCACCCATCCTCTTCCTGAGTGGAGAAACATGTCACAAGAGTTGGGGACAAGTACTAAGAGTCACGCTGCTGTCTTCCCACCAGCAGACAAGACACGAGGGGAATGTGAGGGGGGAAGGGGAGCAGACACACTGCAAAACCCCTGAAGATATTGTAGTGAGGAGAGCAGAGGTGGGTGGTGAGCTTGTCTCTGTCCATTGAAGCCTGGCCCATCTCTGAGCCCTGAAGGAGAATCATGAAGGACCACAGGACTCTGTGGTGTGTTGCATACCACCGGGGTCCCTTTACCTGCTTAGAGCCACCAGACCAGTTCATGCTGTGCCTCCTCTTTAATCCTGGCAGGTACACCATTTAAACAGGTGACCATGAGGCCAGAGCAAGGCTAGAAGAGCCAGGGTGGGGCCACGGGAGGTGTTGGGATGGGACCAGGGAACAGTCAATCCTTCCCTCTTCAGTCATTCATCTGCTGAGCTGAGCCCTGTTCTTTTTGGTCCCAGGTTGACCTCATGGCAAGGGATCCAGGTCCTGGAGTATTCAGACGTACAGCATCATCCATGTGGGGAACAACACCCATAGCGGGCCAGATCCCAGCTCTGGGCAGAGTTGTCTTAGTATCCCGAAGCCTTTCCAGCCTTCCTCATATCAGATACGGCATAGATGCAGGGTCCTTCCTGGAACACAGCCTGGACCGCATTCAGGAAAACTGGCCGCTGGCTCTGGCTCTGGCTCTGGCCTCGGTCCTGTAGCCCCTTTCGTACTTCCTGAAGAAGAGAGAAGGAGCACTCGTGGAGAGAGGAGCTCAAGTCCCCCCTCCCCCATACACAAGGGAGTGTTTTCTAGATAAGAAATAGAAAAACAGACCTAAAAAGATGGAACTGGGAGGAAAGGGTCGGTCTGAGGAGCATGGCTCGGGAAAAACTGGGCAGGCACTGGTCCTGGAGCATACAGTCTGTAACTTGAAAGTCTCAGAGGGTTGTAAGACGGATGCACATCTCCAGGGACAATACAAGGGTAATGGGACTCAGAACAAAGATCCCTCAAGAACCAAGTTCATTCGATTCCTGGGTCTAATTCATTGTGGCCCCAGAGGACAAATCTGGAATGATCTAGGTGTTCTGTTGAGAAGGTAGCTTTAAAAGACTTGGGCTCAGGGACACCATTTTGAATCTCTTGAAAGCAATACCTTCTAGGGATCCAAGGATGCTCTGAGACATTGAGGAGGACCAAATACTAGAGACTCGGTATCCAGGTCCACCAATACAAGTACCGCCAAACCATATAGGACAATAGTAACACAGGTGAGAACTCAAGACCTAAGACAACCAGATATGCAGCAGTTAAACTCCTGGGAGCCTGTAATTTTAGGGCTTATCAATATAGGAGTGTCTCAGAGAATCCAAAGCTTCTGATTCTGTTTGTCCAGAGGATCCATGTAGTCTGTTCTCACTTCAGTATCATATACACTAAAATTGGATCAATATAGAAAGATTAACACGGCCCTTGCTTAAGGATGACTTGTAAATTCATGAAACATTCCGTGTGTGTGTGTGTGTGTGTGTGTGTGTGTGTGTGTGTGTGTATGCCTGTATTTGAATGTATAGATATAAAGGAATATTTATATATCAAGTCAGGTATGGTGGCACATGCCTGCAATCTAGCACTCAGGGGGCAGAGGCAGGGGATTGTAAATTTGAGATCAGCCCAGGCTACATAGTACATCAGAGGCTAGCCCAAGCCCAGTTCTTTCTTAAAAGTGAACAAACTTGTATGTACCCAAGGAAACTAGAACCCTAAGGGGCCCTAATTGCTCAGGTGTAAGATTAAATCTATGAACTTTGAGGTAGAAATTAAAGCAGACCCTAGCCCTGAAGTTCTGAATGTGAAGGGGTTTAAATTTTGGGGGTGTGAACCTCTCTCTGTTTATCATGTAATAGGGAGGTAAAAATGCTAAGAATATTAAGAACTACACTTCCTCAGCCCCACACAGATTAATGGGGCAAGAATTTTATCCCCTGTGAGCCGATATTCCACAGATATCCAGATATGGCGATATCTCTGGAGTCAGTCCTTCTAATTAGTTGCCTCCCGTCCAACTCCATCAGGTAACGTTTTTGGCAAGGTGAGATTTGGAGGCATGCCCTTAGGGGTTCTAAGTTTTTCTGTATTCACTGTAGGAATCGCCTGATGGCCTTAGCATTAAAGGCCAAGGCCCGCAGTGCTAAAGCTAAAATTTCAATCCCCAGGGCCTCCATTTCTCAGAAGTTAGTGGCCAAACTCCAAGACCTTCCTCGTCTTGGTGGTAGCTTTTGCTTATAAAGGTCTCCAAGCCAGAATTTATGACGTTCTCCATGGAAAGCCCTAGATCTGTATTACTGACATTCTGGTACCCCAAGGGAGCCGAGGATCTTGCCCTTATGGGCACTGGACTTCATTAATCCCCGTTCCCGGACTGTGTGTCATCTTCTAAATTCTCAGAGTCAAAGATTCTCAGAGTGCCAAGTCTTGAGAATGGGTATCTGTTGAGAAAGGCTCTTAAGAAACAAGAGCCAAGGCTCCAGGAGTAAGGGCTTAAAAGAACATGCCTTGGACCTCGCAGCCTCTAGACATTAGTTCTTTGGACCTAGTGTTCTGAGGGAGCATCTCGGGTTCCCAGAAGAACTCTGCACAGACTCAGGTCTCAACGACAAGGTTCTCAACACAGACGCTGTTCAACTTACAATGGGATTCAAATAGGTCATAATTGGAAAGTATTGTAACTCAAAATGCATTTATATATTTAATATATCAAACTTGAAGAGATGATTCAGCATTTCTTTTTTTTCTTTTTTTTCTTTTTCTTTTTTCTTCTTCTTCTTTTTTTTTTTTTTTTTTTTTGTAGAGGACCCAGGTTCGGTTCTCAACACCTCCACGGTGGCTCACAATCATAATTCCAGCTGCAGAGCATCCAGTGCCCTCTTCTGACATCTATAAGCACCAGCCATGTGTGTGGTGCACAAACAGATATGCAGGCAATATACCCATACACATACATCTCAAATTGTTTCTAAAACATAAGTACATTTACCTATCAAACATGACAGCCTGCCTTAAATGTCCAGGGTGCTTATTTTTAGCCTATTGTGCTGTCTAAGACAAAGATCATTTTATTATAAGGTATTGAGCATCTCACAGGTACTTTATTGAATACTGTCCTGAAGCTATAACCTAGAATAGTTATTGAGGTAATCACCACTGATGGATTATGAGCATTAAATGGTTTTCACTGAATGCATATAACTCTCTCTTCTTCTTCTTCTTCTTCTTCTTCTTCTTCTTCTTCTTCTTCTTCTCCTTCTCCTTCTCCTTCTCCTTCTCCTTCTCCTTCTCCTTCTCTTCCTCCTCCTCCTCCTCCTCCTCCTCCTCCCCTTTCTTCTTCTTCCTCTTCTTCTCCTTCTCCTTCTCCTTCTCCTTCTCCTTCTCCTTCTTCTTCTTCTTCTTCTTCTTCGTACTGGAAGATTATGCATAATCTTTCCCTGAGCTACATCCCCAGCCCTGCATATGGCTTTTATACAACTGGAAAGTTAAGTCAAACTATTATGAAGAAATCATCATCTGTCAATGTCCCTTACTGAAGGCCTCATACTCTAAGGGTTTTTAGAATTCTAAGGGGCCCCAGAGGTGGCCTTGGGAACCAAGACATAGAACTTTGAGAACCTTGAACCACAGATAGTTGAAATGGCTTCAAACATAAAGTTTGTGGCCTTAAAAAGCTATTCGTCTTTTTAAAGATTTTATTTATTTATTTTTAAAACATTTATCTATCCCCCCCCCCGTGTGTGTGTGTGTGTGTGTGTGTGTGTGTGTGTGCGTGCGCGTGTGCACGTGTGCCTGAGTGTATATGTGCACCACACACATGTAGGAGACTGTGGAAGTCAGAAGAGGGTTTTGGATCTCTTACAACTTTTATAGAGTGGTTGTGAGCGGCCATGTGGTTGCTGAGAAGAGAAACCCAAGCAAGTGTTCTTAACCACTGAAGCCATCTCTCCAGCCCCAAAGCTGCTAACCTGTGCATGCACTCCAGCACTGTACACCCAATTAACTTCAGAAGACATCCAGAAAGCTAAGTGTCTGTCTGAGAGGAAGGTGGTAAGTAGCCAGTCAAGAGAATTCAACCCCTGGTCCTGCTCTGGGGCCTTTGGTGGGGGAACCACACATCTGGAAGAAGTAACAGCATCACGACCTCTAAGGCTCTAGAAGAAAATCCCATAGGAAAAGCAAATTTATTCATGTATAAACTCTCGACTGTGAGTTCCAAACTACTCGAGGAAAAAAAATCACCAAGAAGGAGCATCCAACTGGCCACAGCCAGAAAAGCCAGCTTATTAGAAATGGTATAAACAGGACAAGATTTTGAAGTTCTCAGCCTGGGAGAAACCCCAGCAAGGGCCTGCTCTCTGACTTGACTGCCATGAGACAAACCTATTGCCTTTCCCACTGGGCTTCTCAACACCGTGTGGCTCCTGAAGGTGACGTTACCTGCCTGGCACATGTGGTTACTGGGTTCTTTACAGAAGGCGCTGCGTGGCGTGGGTTTCGGGAAGTAGGTGGGACCTCAGCCTCACCTGGTTGAACTTGGGTTCATACTCCACGTGGCCCGCGTTGTTGACATGTAGGATAGGAGCTGCAATGGCTTCTGTCAGGTCAAAGCCAAACCACAGCTTATTCATGATAGTCTGCAAGAAATCAAAGGACACGGGGAAAGAGGAGGCAACCAGCCATCCCATCAGGAGAACCCCACCCCCACCCCAGGGAGTTTCGTGGAGAGGAGATACTCTATCTAGGAACCTTCAGACTCACCTGGACCACAGCCGAGATGATAAGCTCCCCACCAGCCCCACCGATCACCAGTTTCGATTCCTGGCCTTTGTTGACCAAGATGGAGGGTACCATGGAAGATGGTGGCCGCTCACCTGGAACTGGGGCCAAGAAGCATCACCCACGTCATCCAAGAGTACCACCCAGCCCTCCTTCAGGTACAGTGCTCAGTGATTGGGAGCGACCCACCCAGGGGTTAGCTGCCTCACCCACCCCCTTCCCTCTCTCTTCAAGGGGTGCTGGGCAGGAGACCTTGCTCTCACCAGGCGGAGGGATGACATCGGAACCTGGTACGTTTCTCCAACATAAGTCTAGTAGCTCGTTGTTAAGAAGGATGCCTGTCTGTGGCGAGTACACCATCGCTCCAAAGCTGCAGATAGGCAATGGGCCGCGACTTCTCAGGACCGTTTACCAACTTCCGGCACACCAGAGCCCAGCACCACCCACGGCCCTCAAAGATCCCCTTCGGCTCCCCACACCTTTCTTTCTTTCTTTCTTTCTTTCTTTCTTTCTTTCTTTCTTTCTTTCTTTCTTTCTTTCT